GGTAGCCATGAATAATGGCTTGACGTAAACCTCTCTTACCACCAGTCATGCATCTAATGAACTATACAACATATGGAAATGTACTGTAGTAATTTATTTTATTTCCATTGGTACCCATTAAATTAAGAGCAATCTGCAGAATTATGAACTATCTAGGAGCCTTTGTTACAAATCAAAGAGTAACTTAACAGATGGTATGTGTTCAGCACCTCCATGTATTCTGGTTGCCCTACAATGTTCGTATATTTGCAATATCCCAGAGGATGCATCATAATTTAAATCAAAGTCCAGGTTGTATGGGATGCTTGAAATATCACCTCCCAGTGGGTTTTACGCCTGTCGTTTGTGGTGCAAGGTAGAAACATATGGCATTTCAGTTTTACCTATAATAGTTCCTGCACTGTACTTATAAATGCCATTTATCATACAATGTTTGTGGAATACCAAGAGCAGAAGTTAACATTTGCTGATAGATAATTCACTTTTTAAAATAAATTGATGAAGGAAAATAAAAGACATTTTGAATATCCAAGAAGGATCTGACTTCTGTAATTTTATGTTCTATGATTAGTGAGAATTAATGACAAGATAGAAGGAAAGACACTCGATTAATGACTTGTGATGCAGGGGCTGACTGGCAACTTTTAGCCCAGGGGGCAAGTACAACCCAGAGATTGCATACCAGGAGACCAAGAGACATAAAAAGAGGTCGGTTTGCTAATAGTGATATTGTGGACTGGCGGGGTTCAGTTTGTGAACCCAGCTTGAAATCAGAAAATGCTCAACACCCCATGGAAGACTATGGGAACCACATCTTCAATTCTTTTTCTGGTCTTTCTCAAGGCCAATTTTTAAGCTTTTGGTAAAAAAATGGAATTGGGCAGCTAAGCATTTCAATAAGGGACATATACCATTGCAAATTAAAAAAAAAAAAAAAGCAAAGTGATGCAGGGTGGGGCACTTCAAAATCTGGAAGTCCCATTAGAATAATGTGGACCTACATCACTTTTTTTTATGTATCAGACCCCCAAACAATGAAATATTTTCTGAAAGCAGAGGCGCTGTAGAATAAAAAGATGCTAGTTGCAATTTTGTTACGGTATACTGTATTTGCGCAAATGTTTATCAAACAAGTATTTTTAGGATAACATACACTAAAATGAAATTTAGTGCAAAGAAACAGAATATAACAGTATATACACACACACACACACACAACAGGAAATACATATTTGCTGACCCTCTGTTAGGGAAGGAACAAAGTCCTCCTGTTTGCTGGATTAGACCCCAATAGCAGGGAACAATACCAGAAGGAGAGTCCAGGCTGAGGTACAAGATAGGATGCGATCCAAAATGCGTTGTCAGAGTACAGTCCGGGTCGAGACAGGCAGCGAGTATCATAACCGCTGAGGCAAGCCAGGAGTCGATAACCAGGAGATCCAAATAGCAGGGAAGGGAGACAGGAAACAGGAAATGAGGCATCGTAGCTGCCTTGGGAATGGCAGAATAACTCAGCAACAAGTCTTGGCTCTGGCTGGAATTTAAACCCAGCAGGGGCCAGCGACTCCCTCGTTGTCCAGGCAATGAGGAAGCCACAGGTCCCTGGGAACCAATGGGACGGCTAGGAGAGAAGGAGTGCTCGCAAGGCCCTTCCTGGCAATGATCAGCACCCTAAGAAGCCACAGCGCCACATGCGCACACAACGCACGCATGTCATGCATGCGCTCATGCGAGCTCCCGCAACCTGCCGCGGCTGGGCACTAAATCACCCCAAGAAGGACCCTACAATCTCCGCCGGACCCGCCGGACCCCAGGTAAGAGGGCACCCCTGGTCCCACGACACCCTCTGTCCTCAACACAGGTTTACTTAACAAAACCCACCTGAAGCACCCATAATGCTTGTGGAAATCAGAAGCATTGCGATCAACCCTGCCTTGGCTTTTCATTCAAGACAAGAAAGAGGTACTTGTTTACCCTAAATAATAATGTGATTAGATAAAGTTTGCATGTACCCTAATGACTCTTATTGACTGTGAATTTTTATAAAGGATAATACTAAGGTGCCACCAATAACAGTTAAGCATATATGCCTTCATTTACAGTGCAGTAAGACTTCTCATATGGCCATGGAGAAGCATGGCTTAGCATTCACAGACATAGTTCCTTTTAATGCTATTCCACTAACTTGTTAGCAAATACCTCTGCTATTTACTGACTGATATGGCAGTATTTTTTCAGCATGTGACATATCATGATAAGAGGCCTTTGAGAATGATTAGGATGGCTGCACCACAATGAAAGTGTACATGAAGACACAAGCGCCTGTGAACAAGACCAGCTTAGAAATCAGGATGCAAATACCAATATCTGTCACTCTGGGGATAACATGTGACTGAAATATAATTAATACTAACCTTTCTCTGAATGCTTATTAACTTATTTTTGAATCTGTCAAAAAGAAACTCATTAGGCATAAAGATTCATCCCATCTGCATAATGAAAATGTTTATCCATGCAAAATCCAAAATGAGATGAAATATAATTAACCCTCATAAGATTCTGTGTTAGTCTTTCTCCAATCCTATAGGTGATGGAATAGGTATAGGAAATATGGTATACTTAAATGAATACATGCATTACATACATTGCAGTTTTTACTATAGTACTGGTAAAATAGAATAGATATAAGGAGATGAATAAAATATACAAGCTGGTCAAGTTTAAAGGTTTACATATACATTATATTGCCAAACGTATTGGGACACCCCTCCAAATCATTGGATTCAAGTGTTCCAATCCCCTCCATGGCCACAGGTGTATAAAATCAAACACCTAGGCATGCAGACTGCTTCTACAAACATTTGTGAAAGAATGGGTCGCTCTCAGGAGCTTAGTGAATTCAAGTGTGGTACCATGGTACCATCTGTGCAATACGTCCATCCGGGAAATTTCCTTGCTATTAAATATTCCACAGTCAACTGTGGTATTATAACAAAGTGGAAGCAACTGGGAACAACAGCAACTCAGCCACGAAGTGGTAGGCCACGTAAAATGACAGAGCGGGGTCAGCGCATGCTGAAGCGCACAGTGCACAGAAGTCGCCAACTGTCGGCAGAGTCAATAGCTACAGACCTCCAAACTTTGTGTGACCTTCAGATTGGCAAAACAACAGTGCGTAGAGAGCTTCATGGTATGCGTTTCCATGGCCAAGCAATTACATCCATGCCTTACATCGCCAAGTGCAATGCAAAGCGTCGGACGCAGTGGTGTGAAGCACGCTGCCACTGGACTCTAGAGACATGGAGACATGTTCTCTGGAGTGACGAATCACACTTCTCGGTCTGGCAATCCAATGGATGTGTCTGGGTTTGGCCGTTGCCAGGAGAACGGTACTTGCCTGACTGCATTGTGCGAAGTGTAAAGTTTGGTGGAGGGGGGATTATGGTGTGGGGATGTTTTTCAGGGGTTGGGCTTGGCTCCTTAGCTCCAGTGAAGTGAACTCTTAAGGCATCAGCATACCAAGACATTTTGGTCAATTTCATGCTCCCAACTTTGTGGGAACAGTTTGTTCCAACATGACTATGCACCTGTGCACAAAGCAAGGTCCATAAAGAATTGGATGAGCGAATTTGGGGTGGAAGAACTTGGCTGGCCTGCACAGAGTCCTGACTTCAACCTGATAGAACACCTTTGGGATGAATTAGAGTGGAGACTGTGAGCCAGGCCTTCTTCTCCAACATCAGTACCTGACCTCACAAATGCGCTTCTGGAAGAATGCTTAAACATTCCCATAGACACACTCCTAAACCTTGTGGACGCCTTCCCAGAAGAGTTGAACCTGTTATAGCTGCAAAGGGTGGGCCAACTCAATACTGAACCCTATGAACTAAGACTGGGATGCCACTAAACTTTATGTGCGTGTAAAGGCAGGTGTCCCAATACTTTTGGCAATATAGTGTGTATACAGGGCTTGAAAATTAACTTGTCCTCTCGTCTGTGACAAGGAAGGACAGAGGATGCCGGTACCGGACGAGTCACAGCGTGAGCCGGTTTAAATAGTTATCAGCCTTTTTTGGGCTCAACACACCAACTTCTCCTGACCCATTCAACCTCTGGAACGCGCATAAGGCCTACATTCGGGGTCTCCTTATGAAGATCGGAGCCAGAGCACGGAGAATGGGTAAGCAGAGAATCGACCACCTTCTAACCCAAATTCGGTCCTTAGATACCCAAAACAAATCCAGCCCCGACCCACAACACCTCCCCATCCTAAACAGTTATCAGCGCACGCTGTGTCCGGCTTCAGGAAACAAGACGCTGGGCCGCCAGCTGGCTTCAACCCCCGTCCACCAGCGAGAGTGCCGCGTAGAACACAGGGCTTTCCCTGTTAACCAGCAGCGGCGGAAGTGTGCACTCAAGTCATGGCCTCTGTCACAAAAATATTACAGACCAAAAAGAGGGAAAAAGAAAAAGGGAAAAAAACAAAAAATTATAATCTGTATGTAATAAAGTTTTTTGAGCAGTTTTTGGGGTGCACCACCAGTGGGCCCACAATCAAGGGGCAGCTCTGGGTTCTGCCATACAGATTATCATTTTTGTTTCTTTCATTTTTTCTTTTTCTCTCTTTTTGGTCTGTAATATTTTTGTTAATTTCACCGTACACTCTTTCCATATCTGCATCCTGTACCCCACTTGTCATCTCAGGTTGTATTTTGCTTTCATACATTGCAACAGTGACATACCATATACCACAGTATACTTATTTACTGTCCACAATACATTACATAATGTTTATTTGCCAATATTTACTGTTGCCATGAGCACCAACACTCATTCCAAATTGGTTTGTGATGTTGCTTTTGTTGCCTTTGTATTTGATAACAGCCTGTTATGACATCCAGATACCACCTTAATGTCTCCTATGGCTTTGTTATGCATTATTTCCTGTCTTTAGCCTTAAATTATGGCCGCTGTGGTTGCTAAGGAACGCTAAGGGGAATTTTCCCCAGCGCTACAGCTGGAGACCACGGTCCTCTGTCCTGTTCCGCACACACGCCAGGTGACAGAGGCTGTGACTTGAGTGCACACTTCCGCCGCCGCTGGTTAACAGGAAAGGCCCTGTGTTCTACATGGTACTCTCTCTGGTGGGTGGGGGCAGAGCCAGATGGTGGCCCAGCATCTTGTTGTCAGAAGCAGGACACAGCATGCGCTGGTTACTATTTAAACCGGCGCCCGCTGTGACTCGTCCGGCACCGGCGTCCTCTTGTCACAGACGAGAGGACAAGTTCATTTTCAAGCCCTGTAAATTGCAAGACTATAGTCCGGTCATGCTGACTGGTGAAATTTTTGACTGACTGGTGAGACACCCTAAATTTTTTCAAGCCCTGTATATATACTAGTTTATTTTTTATCAATTAACAAAAGGGAAGGTAATTAGGCAGAAGAGAAGTTCAAATCACATCAATATTTGATGTGATAACCCTTTACCTTCAAAACAACATCAATTCTTCTAGGTACACTTGCTCACAGTTTTTGAAGGAACTCGGCAGGTTGTTCCAATCATCTTGGAGAACTAAGCACAGATCTTCTGTGGATGTCGGCTGCCTCAAATCCTTCTTTCTCTTTATGTAATCCCACACAGACTCAATGATGTTGAGATCAGGGCTCTGTGGGGGCCAAACAATCACTTTCAGGTTCTTCTTTACGCTGAAGATACTTCTTAATGACATTGGTTGTATGTTTGGGGTCGCTGTCCTGCTGCAGAATAAATGTGGGGCCAATCACACGCCTCCCTGATGGTTTTGCATGATGGATAAGTATCTGATTGTATTTCTCAGCATTGGGGACACCCTTGATCCTCACCAAATCTCCAACTCCATTTGCAGAAATGCTGCCCAGGCCCGCAAGGAACCTCCACCATGCTTCACTGTTACTGCAGACACTCATTATTGTACAGTTCCTCAGCCTTTCGGCGAACAAATTACCTCCTACTACAGCCAAATGTTTAACATTTTGACTCACCAGTTACTTTCTTATGTAATGTGTGTCCATCATCTCTTTCTTCAGATTCTCTCCAGCTGGACTACATATAACCAATGGCAGGTCTATATGTAAAGCATACTGCATAGAACTGCATATTTTTGGTCATAAGTAATAATTTACTAAAGAATTTGAGAATCTTCACACAATAAATTGTGTGAATCTTCATCTCAGTTATCCAATTATCCAATCAATTATTCAATTATCCAATCAATTATCCAATTATCTCAACAATTACCCAATTATGTGAAAAGCTAATTGTTTAACCATTCCTCTGCACATGATTGGATAATTTAAGCAAAGATTCACACAATTTATTGTGTGAACAGTCACAACTTTTTTTGTAAATCAGCCCCAATCATCATATTGAAAAATAACTTATAGAAAAAATGTCTTACCCTTTAGATGTTTTGTTAAAGCAGGCAAGATGGCTGATTCAACAAACAAAAAAAGGGGGGAGGAGTTACGCTAGTGTATAAACTAATATACCAATCTACAGGGTTTCAAGCAACTATTCACAAAAACGTTCCCCCAAAAATTAGAAATCCCTTCTAAAAAGATTGGTTCAACACAGGTAAATCAAAATTATTGATACAATATTTAATAGTAGAAAAAGACATATACAATAAACTCATGTACCAGAGACATTTAAAAACACTTAAAACATTCCACTGGATATATCCTGCATGATTATAACAATTGTTGCCTAAAAACCACCTGTGTGGTAAAGGACCATCTATGCAGGTTTCTGGATGATTGAAGTACTTTTCAAAAGAAACAATGTATCTGAGAATGTACTCACATATGTTGCAGTTCAAAGAGCTCGAGGGAAAATGAACCTGCTAGAGTCCTGTGTGTAAAGATGGAAGAAAGACTTCGGGAGAGGTGTCCAGTATAAGACGATATTACTGTCAAAGAATGTAGCTCCTCAATACAGGCAGGAGCTGCGGATGCCCCTCTCACAGCACTTTCCAAAGGCACAAGATACTCCGTGGGTTTCAGTGAATGAAATGGAAGCTTCTTCTAAGATTTTGGTCTTTCGTGTGCGGCCGCACTGTGCAGAAAAAGAGAAAGACTACTTGACACTCCACGGTAAGATGCGCCTGGCAAGATAGGAGCCGGGAATTTACCCGTAAGGCGCGGGAAGCCACCCGCTAACCTTCAAAAGCAAAGGCATGATTTTAGTAGTCATCCAATCGAAACCATATCACAGTCAGTTGTGCTCCGTCACCTCTATTTCACAAGCCGGCAGGCAGTAGGCAGGATGTTCGTTCCTAACTGGACTTGTATAGGGGATGAGCAAACAAATGTGAGTATCTCATGTGTCCAGAGAATCCAGGGAAGCTTTCCACACGTAACCCTGATTTCTAATTTTTGGGGGAACGTTTTTGTGACAAGATGACTGATTCCAGGTTTTTCTTAGCCCCTTCACAGTGATCCGTCCTAATGGAATGACTTGGGACTGAAATTTGAGGATTGTGTTTATCTGATAGGCTTCATTAGTACACAATTAACAAGTCACCTCGGAGCCCTCACCCCTCACAGCCGCTCCTAACATCTCAAAGAAATAAAAGCAAGAAGAAATTGTAACCCTTAAAACCCTAACCCAAGTAAAAGCAATTTAAACTGCATTTTTTTTTCGCTTATGCTATGTGAATGGGAACATGTAACAAATATAAAATAGCTTTTATCCCAATTTGGCTGCGGAGATGGAAATACACTTTAAGGCATATGTAATTCCTGACAATGAACTTCTCTTATTTTCTCCCTTTTGGTCTGTGAAATATATATTGAAAAGCAGTTGGTTATGTATATATGATAAGTTAAAAAAACACCTGTTTCCTGACAGAAATCCAATGAGCTTATATTTTCCTGTACACTCTCTCTGTTTTGCACTATGACAGTTTTGGCAGGTTAAACAGGTAAAAAAACAAATTTGGCCACCACACTACTATGCTAAAATGTATTATTTTTGTTCTTGGGTTTAAATATAGGTTAAGCAGACAACCCAGTTGATTATGCTGAGACAAAAACAATGATTGAATAAATAAGACTTTCCAGTATAGTCACTTATGTTTCCTTAGATAAGATTGGTCTTAACCAGAGGCGTCTCGAGGTGGGGTGACACCCGGTGCGGGTACCAGGGTGACACCCTGCTGTGATGTCATCACATACGCACTTGACTTCATCGCGTATGCGCATGATGACGTCGCGCGCTGCACTGCTGTACCTGCCGGCGGCCATCTTGGTGATGGACACCGGCGGGAACTTTCACCTGGCGGGATAAGGTATGCTGCCGGGTCTCCTCCTCTCTTGTGCAACTGTCGGTCCACGACCGGGTGCCCAAATTTTAAGAGGGGGTTACACCAAAAAGACTGTCACTCACTTTGGTGTTGATGGTGTCACCCGGCTGCAGGCCACCCCCCATGTGATGCCACTGGTCTTAACCTAGTAACAGGTAATTTAGCTATCAAACCCTTAAATAATGTCAGCAGTATTATGGCTTTTCCCATTTAAAAGTGGAAATAAACCTAAAAATAAATAAAAACTGCTATAAGTTAGAGTTTTGTGGCAGAATAGATACACCAAGTCTCAAAAAACCACTGCTACTAACTTCTAACAGCTTTTCTCTGTTGTACTCTACTACCTGGGGTAGTACTGTAAGGCACATGCACTGTACAGTGCACTATCCCAGGTCCTTCCCAGCATATGCAGTGTTCTGAGAATTGAGCCAGGTGCCCAGGAAAATCATCGCAGGCCGTCTAATGGTCAGACAGGATGACAGGGTCCCGGAAGAAGCAGAGGAAGATATGGTGGTGGTTGTAGATGAAGTGGCACTGACAGAGATCAATCAGCACTTGTCAGATAAGTGTGACATAATGTGCAAGTATGGTGTGATATTTGCATACTATGACAATAGCCAATTAGGAACAGCAGACTTTACTTGTGCTTTTAATGCAAACAGTTGTCTCAGTCAGAGTTAAAATCATGTGGCTTGCATGAATAAAATAATTACAAACTTAACTCAAAAAGTAAGAGTCATCCAATCTGGACAGCAATCTCTTAAATATGGCTGTAGGGTAGTGAGAGATCATTAAATGCCAAGTAATGTGTTCTCACATAAATATAACGTAAATAAGTCTAGAAAGCCAGAGAGACAATCTAGAGACTAAGGCTGACAAGAGAATTGAGATAATGGTTGCATGCTACAGCACATACAATGAAACCATCCAGTGGTCTTAATGCCGATCTTTACATTATTAACAGACATTCACATTGAATTAATTGCTTAATTCCACCAGGCAATGAAGCAATTATGCTTTTTAATGAGAACTTTCATTCTCAGAGTGTCCAAGTTGATCCCTCAACTTAAAATGAACTTACAAAATGCAAACATGATGACCTTGTGCAAAAAGAGGGGGGAGAACATCATTAGAATATTAATTATATGTCAATTTCTGCTGTGTGTCTTTGCATACATTATAAATATAAATACAACTAATGCTCAACCTAATCATAGCTAAGAAAACATTTGCTGAAGTTATTAGCACATTTACGCTTATTAACATAAGACATGACATATGCAGGTAACTCGGCAATAAAAATGATAACGAAATGTCAACATAAAAAAAACACAACTGGGGCAAACAAGTTTATAAACATGTCGAAATAATAATCTACTTGGTAAAAAATAAGTGATTTTTTTAAATAAACCAATTTTTGAAGTGCAGCTATGGATTCAATACAAAAAAATCTGTAGTGAATTCCCCCCGCTTTCCTCATAAAAATATCCAGGACACAGAGAATTAAGGTGCAGCAAGGAACCACTCTCAGCCGCCCTGGTCTCCATTGCAGCCCATTTGTAGCCAGATGCCTCTGTTTTGACTATTATCTATTAGCTATTATCAAATACATTTAGCATACCATCACAATTATAATGCAACGTAGAGTTTTATAACAATAAAGTGTGACACTTTGCCTGGGTCCTGTGATGCTCCGAAATGGGGCATTCACATGTGATGCTAAAGTAATACGAAAAAAAAGGAAATTCCGAAGCAGAATGGTGTGCGGACAACATATCTTCCAGATTGTATATTGTGGCGCTATCCACCAGTTACATAGTTACATAGTATTTGAGGTTGAATAAAGACTCAAGTCCATCAAGTCCAACCTATTGCGTGTATGCATTTATGGTTGAGCTGGTGTGTGCGTGTGTATGAGTCCATGTGTGATTTTGCTCTTAGGAGTACCTGTACCCCTGTATGTTACAGCATCCAAGGAAATCGTCCACGAGTTTCTTGAATGATTCCACACTCTTAGCTGAAATCACTGCCTGTGGCAGTGAGTTCCAGACCTTAATCGCTCTAACTGAGAAGAACCCCTTGCGCCCTCTGTGCTGAAATTTTTTTCCCCCAATTTTTGGTGGTGCCCTCTAGTCTTTGTCATGAAGTTTACCGTAAAGAGTTTGTTAATAATGTTGCTGTCACCATTGAACAGTTTATACAAAAAAATCATGTCCCCCCTTAATCTCCTTACTTCCAAAGTGAACATATTTAATTTTAACAGCATTGTTTCATAGCTCTGGTCCTCCAACCCCTTAATGAGTTTGGTTGCCCTCCGCTGGACTTTTTCCAACTCAAGGACATCTTTTCTGAGTACTGGTGGCCAAAACTGGACCGCATACTCCAGATGAGGCCGAACCAGTAATCTGTAGAGTGGCAGAATTATAGACTTGTCCCTGCAATACATTCCCTTCTTTAATACAAGGCAGGACTCTACTTGCTTTGTTTACAGCAGCCTGGCACTGCAAGCTATTCTTTAATCGGTGGTCTACAAGGACCCCCACATCTTTCTCCATTTCCGACTTCCCGGGCGGCACACCCATAAGTGTGTAGCCCATTTGCCTATTTTTAGCTCCAAAGTGCATTACTTTGCATTTATCGACATTGAACTTCATCTGCCATACAGTTTCCCACTCCGCTAT